AGAACCCATACCAAAATCTCAACACCGAGCAATAACCTGTTATATAACGGCAGCAAATTAGACCAAACACGGTCCCGTTCAAAAGACGCTTCAACTTCAAGAAAGCTAACTGGGAACTTTTCACACGAGACCTGGATCAAGAAATCTCCAAAATAAAGCCCGGAATCCAATCGTATGGAGCATTCACAGAACTTGTAGGCAAAATCTCACGACAGCACATACCCAGGGGATGTCGCACCCAATACATTACTGCGCTAAACAACATCTCGAAGGAAGCCTTAGACAAATACGAAGAACTGTTTAACGAAGACCCATTCTCGGAAGATACAATCCAAGCAGGCGAGGACCTCTTGCTCAGTATTTCTGAGTCGAGGAAGGAGAAGTGGTGCAACCTATTACAGGAAACCGATATGAAGCACAACAGCAGGAAAGCATGGAAACTAGTCAAAAGCCTCAGTGGCGACCCAACAATCCCCCAGCATAAGTATGTAGATGTCACACCGAATCAAATAGCGCACCAACTGCTACTCAATGGAAGAACCAGGCGGAAGAAGAAGGACTGTAAAATCAGAAGAAAAATGGACGAAGAGAACAACTTCCTGGCGTGTCCATTCTCCTTTCAAGAACTCCAGAGTGCCATCGAGGAAATGAAAATCAACAAGGCAGCCGGACTCGATGACATAAGACCTGAACAAATCAAACACTTCGGGCCTAAAACAAAAGCGTGGATACTCGCGGTAATAAATAGCTGTGTCAAAGAGATGCAAATTCCCAAACTCTGGAGAAAGTCTCGAGTTGTTGCCCTTCTGAAGCCTGGAAAAGACCCGACAGAAGCTTAAAACTTCCGGCCAATCTCCCTCCTATGCCAGCTGTTCAAAGTCATGGAGCGAATGGTTCTGAAACGAATATCGGATCACGTGGATGAAGCCTTAATAAAAGAACAGGCAGGTTTCAGGCCTGGTCGTTCATGCTGCGGACAGATACTCAACTTGACCCAGCATATTGAAGACGGTTTCCAGGAGGGGGGCGAGGTGACCGGGGTTGCCCTCCTGGACCTTAGTGCAGCCTAGGACAGTAGTATGAAAATGCCGACTTTAGGCCAGTAAATTATCCAACAGCGTTGCATGATTGTGCAGAAAAAGATGAATTAAATTACAGCGTTGTATAGGGATTATTGTTCAATATGGCAACGCTGTAAAAAGAAAGTATTGCATGTTGCCCCTTCAATATGCGGGTTATGCAATGGTGTAATAATGCCCCTTCATTTTTCGGGTTATGCAATGGTGTATTTTTCAATATGGCGCAGCAGCGTTGCCGAACGGGGCACGTAAATAAATGATTTATTTATTGGTGAAATTTTGCAACATTGCATTTTACAGTGTTGCCAGATGGGGCCAGAAATTAGTTGATTTTTCCGTAGTGTTGCCAGATTGTGCAAAAAAATTCGGATTTTCGGACTTGTAAAAATTTTCGGTTTTGAGAGACCGTATCTTGCAGTATGGGTCGGTATCTGATACTGTAGATTAGGGTCTGATTCGGGAAAATTGAAAATTTTTCGGAAAATCACCCTCGTCCGATCCGGTGCGGACCGATGCGATTCTTTTCCATTATCGAAGATCGGAAAACTGTACGGACCGAATTTCGATACGAGTTTTGGTTTTCGAGATTTCGGACTTGTAAAATTTTCGGCTTCGAAAGACCGTATCTTACAGTATGGGCCTGGTATCGGAGACTGTAGATTAGGGTCTGATTCGGTAATTGGATTTTCGGACTTGTAAAAATTTTCGATTTCGAAAGACCGTATCTTACAGTATGGGTCTGGTATCGGAGACTGGAGATTAGGGTCTGATTCGGGCAATTAAAAATTTTTCGGAAAATTACCCTCCTCCGATCCGTAGCGGACCGATGCGATTCTTTTCCATTATCGAAGATCGGAAAACTGTACTGACCGAATTTTGATACGACTTTTAGTTTCCGAGATTTCGGACTTGTAAAATTTTGACGGCATCCACGATAGACCGTATCTTACAGTATGGACCTGGTATCGGATACTGGAGAGTAGGGTCTGATTCCGGAAATTGGATTTTCGGACTTGTAAAAATTTTCGATTTCGAAAGACCATATCCTACAGTATGGACCTGGTATCGAATACTGGAGAGTAGGGTCTGATTCCGGAAATTGGATTTTCGGACTTGTAAAATTTTGGGATCAATAGACCATATCCTCCAGTATGGGTCTGGTATCGGAGACTGGCGAGTGTGCGCTTGGAGATTTGTATCCAAACCTTGTGTTTTGGAATAAGCAACTGGGATTGTATATTGCAATTTCAGTTTGATGGATCGAAAACCTGTAAAATTTTCGGAATCAATAGAACATAGCCTCCAAGATGGGACTGGTATCGGTGACAGGAGAGGAGGGTCTGATTCGGGATATTAAAACATTATCTAAGTCCTACGCTGGAAAATATTTTCGGAAAATTCTCCTCCTCCGATCCATCCCAACCCGATACGATTCTTCTACACTATCGAAGATCGGAAAACCTCACGACCCGAATTTTGAGACGACTTTTAGTTTTTTGAGAAAATCCAACTTTCACCTAAGTCGCATGCGTATCTTATATGTATATACGAGTTTTTGCGCTTGCTCGAATAAATGGGTTGGTAGTTCACTCTTGACAGGTTGTATGTCCGATTGTAAAAACACATCTATGATATATACCTATCTTATGTGTATGCGCGGTTCTGTTCCTTACATTGTTTTCAGATTGTGTAAAATATTCGGATTTTCGGACTTGAAAAATTTTCGGGATCAATACACCGTATCCTCTAGCATGGGCATCGGAGACTGGTGAGTAGGGTCTGATTCGGGAAATTAAAAAAATTTCGGAAAATTACCCTCCCTCCGATCCGATTCTTTTACACTATGGAAGATCGGAAAACTGTACAGACCGAATTTTGATACGACTTTTAGTTTTCGCGAAAATCCAACTTTCACCTAAGTCGCATGTGTATCTTATATGTATATACGAGTTTTTTTATGCTTGTTTGAATAAATGGATTCTTGAGTTTTACTTTTGACCGTTTGTATGTCTGATGTCATAAACACGTCTATGACACATACCTATCTTATGTGTATACGCGGTTTTCTTCATGGCCTTCGTAGACTGCGGTCCTCGCTCCGTCCAGAGTTCAAAATTTAACGTGAAATAGTTGTGTGTTCATGATCGCACAACGATGTGACGACTGGCTCTTAGTTTCTACGGATCAAGGGTATCAGAAA